GAAAATTATTGAAATCGGACTAAAATTACGGCCGCTTTTCATATAACGGTAAATTTCAGAAATGCTTGAAACTGCAATATTTCGAAATTTAAGGACGCTAATTTACTCAAAATTGATACACCCCGGCTTACCATCTAGCGGTAGGTTTCGGAAAGGTGCAAAAACATATATTTAATACTTGCGCCGGGTATTTAATGTTCGGCTCCACCCGAACTTAGACTTTCTTACTTGTTACTCTTGTACTTTTGAAGTTTTACATTGCTGTATATAAAACTTACACTAGTTAAACTCGAATTGTAAATTTTGAATTTTTAATTAAACGTTATTCAATTGCCGACAAATGGGTCTGGTTGCTTATTTATAAAATCTCTTCACACAACCCCCCTACGAGGTTTAAGAAACTCCGCTTAAATCTCGTCGATGGTCCTTCAAGCCATTGAGTTAGCAATTGAATCAGCTCTGCACTATTAGCTGATGCAGAAAGTATAAATTTTGATACGTATATCTAATCCCTCTCAACCTCATATCTCCTCCAAAAATTAATAAAGTTATAGCGAGTGATCGATTTCGTACCAAAACGAAATTTGCGTAAAAATATCTCAACACACGTATACATGCATAGCTATACACATGTATGTGGGTGAGTACTAGGGTGGTAGCAACCCAAATATTATTTTTGCCAGTAGGTCTATGATACGTTATTTGTTTTGCCCCCATCGCGGCTATAAACATGCCCAAGAGAAGAACATTTAACTAACCCAAAGCGATTTCCACAATACTTTTCATAAACTCGAACGATAAAATTATCATAAAAAGCTCTTTCGAAATACTTACTTCTACCGCTGATCTTTATAACATATGTATATACTTACGTATATATATTTTTTTTTTTCAACGGAGGAAGAATCTTCCAAAGATGTTATGCACGATTCGGTATTCTGTCCGCCTTTCCGCCTGTCCGGGTACACCTCATTCGGGACCACGCCTAGACTATGTTATCACATAATTCAGGACTTGCGAGATAGTGCGCCTACGTACTAAACTCTTAACTCCGACGTCTGAAGCTTGTGTTTCGCCTTGCGGGACCGCCGTTAGGTATTACGTCGCCAGGCGTAGCTTTGCCAATTGGCCCTTCACACACGCCTTTCTGGCCTATCTCTCGTTCAGTCTTCTATTAT